TGGTTAGGGGCTAGAGGCTGCCATTGCCTCAGATTTCTTCAAATGCTGCATTGCTGGGCTTCCTGTTGCCTTCCCACCCCCAGAATTTACTTATTTATTTCTTTGAAAAGCAAAGTAACAAATAGCCACGCTGAGAGATCTTTCACTACCCAAAAGGCCAGAAAAGCCAAGGCTGGGTAAGTCCAACAGCTAAGAGTCAGGTCTCCCCCATGGGTGACAAGGGCCCAAGCACTTAGGCTGTCATTTGCTGCCTTCCCAGACACTAGCAGGGAGCTGCCTTTAGTGAGAAGCACTTTTGAACAATTCAAATATGTTCTCAGAGCTTCAAACATTTCTAAACCAGCTGGATCAATTTAATGATCGGAAAAGGTGAAGAGCTCATGAAAATGTCAACAACTCAGCCAGTCCTAGAATTAAGAAAAGTCCTGCTTGGAATCCACTTAGTGTTCCTACTTCTGATCTTTCAGGACTGTCAATCATGGAATCATGGGATTACTTGGAGGGTGGGAGTCAGACATGATTCAATGTTCATCCTAGGGGCTATACTGTGGAATCATGGAAGTGTCCCCTTCGTGATATAAGTTTCCTAAAGCTCTACCTACAGGACACCACAGAAGAGTCTAAAGTTCAGTCACTGCTCTTGTTCTCTGGATGTTCTCATGAAGATTTTTGGTTTGGGTTTTGAGAATAAAGGTCATGTATGTACTGTGAGAAAGGTAGAGGGTGTAACCACACACATGTGTGTATAAATGTATGAGCAACTATGCACGTGTGTGTGTGTGTGTGTGTGTGTGTGTGTGTGTGTGTAGCCATAGGACCAAAGAAGGAAGATGTGGAGGGCCAAATTTGCTTGGTGGATGGCTGGCTGAAAAAATGGAGGCTGAAACCTTGGTTGTAACACCTATTTAAAGCGCCCTTGTTTACATTTGAGGTTTCTGAAAGAACCATCTTACGACAATGATAATGAGAATCTTTAAAAATTAAAAAATTAAACAGTGGGGAACATATCTGTAGATCACTGCCGGATACTGAGAGAGGTTCTAGAGAAAGTCCAAAGTTGGTATCCATCAAACCCAGGCCAACTACTAGTCTCGGACAAGGACACACAGTTTCTTTGTGCATTAAGAACACTGAAAGGGTGACACCCATGCTTGTGACTCATGGTGTCATCCACAGGCCTTCTGCAACAGCATTGTATAGAAACGTGAGAAATTCAGCCCTGGTCCTGCCCAAGACCCACTGATGCAAAACCTATGGTCTACTGAGAGTCTAGACCATTCAAATCCCTTTCTATACAATGACATTCCAGAAACCCTAGTCAAACTGAGATATTATATATATTGCATTGGTTTCTGGAAGACATAGCTGTCTGCCAATTCTATTATGGGAAAACCGTTAGTTTGATGATGCTTAGTACCTGAATCAGATGTAAAAATTTATCACCAGATTTGCTACAGCAGGCATGCAGCCAAGGTGGAAACTTAAGCCATGCTGTCAATAGCACCGTAGTAGTCACTTCATTAGTATGTATCTTATTTTGTTCTTACAAATCTTTATTTACTTAAGACACATACACAGACAGAGGCAGATGGAGAGACTGACAGACACAGAGAATGATCCCATCCACTGGTTCATTCCATGCAGCCAAAACCTAATTTGCATTAAATTATTTGAGCCATCACTTGCTGCCTCCCTGGAGTGCATTAATTGAAAGCCAATTGAGAATTAATTAATCAATTAATAGGAATTGAGAGCAATGTCAGAACTGCAACCCAAGCATTCTGATGTGGGCACTGGTATCCTAACCTCTGTACCAAGCACCTGTTCCTTACTACGCTTTAAATCTGAAATGGTAAGTAATCCATATTCATATGAAATCATAAAATAGCATCAATCACATTCATACAATGGATTTCACATTAAAGTTTGAGAAACCTGTAAAATATTTTCATTGATATTAATATCTCTATTCCTTATCTTCTCTTTTAAAACTGCTCGTTTCAATCCTACTTTAAATCCTTGGAGGCTTTGAGACAATTATTGCATGACAAGTCACCTGAACTTGATTATTTGATTTAGACAAGGAGGGGCTCTGCACCCCGCCTCCCTCATGCTCTCTCCAGGAACCAGGACCAAACATAATCTCCTTGACAATCAAGAAACAAATTGAGTCCGAGAGATAAAGAGTTAAGACAAAAGTCACCACCAGTGACTCACTTCAACTAAGTAACTCAAGAGTAATGGAACTGCCCTAGTTTCAGGGAAAACTGTTTCTAAAGCAAATAAGCACATTCCTTGCCTGTTGGAAGCGTAGTGTGTGGAGTAAGATAACACACCACCTCAGGTAGCACAATATACCTGTCCTTTTAGAAAGCTGACACTACAGAATCTATATGTTATTCATTCACACATGCATGTAGAGATACATGTGTAGGGGCATATTTCTTGGTTCATTCACAGAAGCAATGAAATCTTGTAGAAAACTGCTTAAACATCTGAATATCTTCACAACATTAATAGTAAGTACATATTTCAGTATGGAGAGATTAGAGAGGGATTGAAAAATCTCTTAGCTGGACACAGATATTTTTAAAAATATGGATTAAAACAACCACTTAGTTATTGTAAGTGCATGACCTGCTACTGTAAGGGGTACACACACACACACACACACACACACACCCAGAACCTTCTTTCCATAAGCCCCACTGGGAGTCACACCACATTCAGTTTCAACAGGCAGAAGAAACTCCATGACAGCAGCAGGTAACACACAGTCTCCCCAGCCCTCACACACAATGGTGTCAGGAAAACGCAAGACTTGGTGTTTTTGAAGCATCTCCATGCCACCTCTGTGGTTCTGTGGCCTTGCACATATTTCCTCCCCTCTTATCTCTTAGTTTTCTTACCTGAAAAATTGTGCTTTTTTTTTTTACTACAGAAAAGAAAAATCATAAGAGCAACAGAAAATAAACAACAAAAGCCAGGGAAAGTGCCCAGCATGGAGCTAGCACACAAAATGTTCCCTAAAACAGATCCTAGTCGTCATTATGATTCCAACTATCAGAGATATGCAAATGAGAGCCACCGTTTCTATAAAAGCAACATTTATTGCTTTGAAATCTCATTAGGGATGTTTACCTTAATCAATTCTCCCATGGAAATGCCATCCAATTTCAAATAATTAAAAACAAATATGCATCCTCATCAATCTACAAAGTGCATCCCGTGTTCCGGTTCATGCTTGCAAGGCATCAACTTGTTTAGCGCACAGTGCTGTGTCCTGAAAGACCCCTCCTGCTTCTTCAGTGCGTTAACCCCTCTCCTGCCTGCCTCAGGGAGGACACACAGATTCAAGCACAGAACTGATTCCCACGTGTGCCACATCAGAGAAATCTTTGGATGGATTTAGGCTATCAGGATGTTCCTGTGACATTATGGGCATAACATTGGGGCAGATCGATGAGGTTAACCTCACAGAAGCCATCCTCTCAAACACACCCAATTGTGGTCTTGCTGTCTTCCAAACAGGCTAAGCTGAGGTACTGTCCACTGGTTGGTTAGACACGGCTAGAAATCCACCACAAACAGAGGGAAGGTGCCTGGGTCTGCATCTGTCTGCACTAACAGAAATGATACTCAGCCACAGTGGGTTTTGCAGCATTGTTTAAAATCAGTTCCTATGCATAATTTTCTGACTGTATCTTCATTCTCCGAAAATAGGCAATATAGTTCTCCTTGCATGTAGGTCATTTTTTGATGCAAAGATGGCAGAGAAATCCAAATGCAACTTTCAATGTGGTTACACAGGCATTCTGCTTATGAACTTACAGATTGTCGTGGCCAGATGTAACAGGCCCACTTGTGTGTGTTGTGCTCTCACAAATCTACTCATTACAGTAAGAGACGGCCTGTTTCAAATGCAGTCTGCACCACAGGCAGTGTGGACTGAGAAAGCCTGGTCTATGGTGTGTTAATTCTGTGAGTCTCAGTCAAAAACGACTATATCCTTAGACATAGGGAGACAGGAAAGGTGATGTGTCACTGTTTCATGATATTGTCATATAAATTTATGTTTCAGAATGTACTGAAACAAACTAAATTGTCTTTCAATAGATACTATCGATAGTTTTCCTGAAAAGAATCAGACTGAAGCTCAAGAAAACCAAATGATGGATCTCATCATGTTTTAGTTCACATGAAAATCAAAGAGTACTTCATGATTTATCTTGGGAAGCGTTTCTTGAAAAAACGACTCCTTTAATTCTAGATTTTCATGGCAACATTCGAAACTAGTGTTCTCGTGAACACAGACAAGCACACAGAGCGAGTTGCAGCATTTATAGAAATACCAGAATAATTCATCCACACAGTAATTGCTGGAAAGAAAGAATGAGTAGGAATGGGCTCCTGGTTTCACTCCTGCGACTTATTGCTGAGTCCCTGTCAACCGAGGCAGGTTCCCTCCAAGCGTAATTATGTAAACTACCTTTGCTGACTTGAAAGAGACAAGGTTTTGTTAGATACACCATGCAGCCTTTAAAATCTACTTTGATTTTTTTCAAAAGACTGGAAAAAGTAATTCCTTCTTCATTTTCCTTAATAACTCAGATTTATTTTAGACTCCAGACTTAAAAAAAAACACTCAGGGACTCACTCACGTGTTTTACATCATGACCATGATGTATCATTTTCTCTTTTCAATCCTTGCAAATGAAACATAAAACAAATCCTCTGTCCTCTAACAAAATAATATTGAGTAAGGAACTCAACCATGTTTTTTTTTTTTTCCTCAAGAAAAGGTGAAAACACTGGTAACCATATTTTCCCCCCTTCAATCACTTAACTCATCCAACAGATGTGACTGCTTCCCAAATGCCCTGAGCTGTAGCTTGAGAAAGACTCCAGTGCCAGGAACGTAGGAGAGCAAGCCAGCCTTGTGGCGCGACATGGGAAGCCAGGGTCAGTTCAGCATCCTCCCAGAGGTGACAAGTGGCTGGCTACACGTCGCTGGGTGACCGCACGCGCTGGGACAGACTGGGCGGGATGCAGCCGCAGCAAACCAGGCAGAGCGCTTTCTGGATCTCCTGGTTTCTGAATGCATAGATGACGGGATTGATGATGGAGTTGTAGGTGGCTGGCAGCAGGGTGGCATAGGTGTAGATGGACGGGTAGGTGTAATCGGCTATCAAGGAGTAGAGGGTGAAGGGCATCCAGCAGGCGGCAAAGGTTCCCAGGATGATGGCCAGCGTGGAGACCCCTTTGCGCGTGGTGACGTAGTGTGACGTGGCCAGGAAGTGATGCTGCAGGGCTATCTGGTGGGCGTGCCGCATCACAATCTTACAGATCTGGACGTAGAGCTGAAGCATGAGTGCGAACATGAAAAGGAAGGAAACTGACAGGATGGCAGCATTGTTCTTGGTGAGGGGTCTGACCACGCTGCAGGTGGACTCGTCCCGCAGGCAGTTCCAGCCCAGGATCGGCAGCAGCCCTAGGCAGATGGATGCGCCCCAGAGCATGACGAGCATGGCATAGGTGAAGGTGACGGTCCTCTCCGAGTGGTAGGTGAGGGCATAGTACAGGGAGAGGTAGCGGTCCACGGTGATAGCCAGCAAACTGCACACGGAGGCGGAGAAAGAGGCGACAATGAGCCCGATCGTGACCAGCTTGGTGGCATCCGACTGCAGCAGGTAGGCAAACACAAAGTTGATGATGAGTCCGAGGCCCGCCAGCAAGTCCGCCAGAGCCAGGCTGCCTATCAGCAGGAACATGGGCGCTCGCAGGCTGGGGTTGTGGAAGATGATAAGGACCACAATGGCATTCTCACAGGAGATGAGGGTTCCCGAAGTGCACAGGACAATGTCCCAGGGGTTGACCACCAGCTCTGGCTCGGGCTCTACAGCGGGAACCTGCGAGGAGGAGGCAGCCGTCGAGACGTTCTCTGGGGCACCGGCATCTATATAATCCTGAGGCAGCCCGCTTACATTGACCTTCAGGTCTTCATTCATTTTAACCCCTGTCCTCTTCAATGAAAAGACAGGCCTTTTAATGTTTGGGAACAGCAGGGCAAAACTCTGAGCTCATGCCACACACACACACACACCCCACACCACACCACATACAGCCCCTGCTTACACACCACCACCCAAGGCCAGGAGCTCTTGCAACAGCACATTGTGGTGGAATAAAACAAAAGCTGAAGTTTCTGTAGCAGACACCCCATAACAGCATTGCCCTTTGGCATGGAGCGGGCAGGCACAGGCAGGACTCTCCGCCAGGCAGGAGCTGAATTGAACCCTGCGCGGCGTGCTGGGGCATCTGGGCTGCTGCCCACGGGACCATGCGGCGGCCGCGAGTCGCGCGCATGGCAGCCATCCTCGATGGAATATTTTAGTCGCCCATTTCCACCGAGCACCCACCCTCCAAATTCCCGCCCTGGCGCGTGCACACACGCAGACACACACACTCATCCCCTCTCCTCCCCCCGACAGAAAAATGGGGTGATTTCAGATGCCCCCTGTATCACAAACAGTCAGGGAGAGTCACAAAAGACAGATGTGAGCCGTGGAGGTGCGGAGACAGACAGACAAGCAGGTGGACGCCCATGCACTGCCGCCGCGCCCCTCGCGGTTGGGGGCTGGCACCAGACACCAGGAAGGACAAGACAGAACGAGGGAGGGGGACGGACCGCTTGCGGGACCGGGGACGCGGAGGGTGTCATCAAGGGGGTCACCTTGGCGCGCCCAGGCCGGGAAGGGGGGGCTTCGTCCGGTGCTTCCGAAGCTAGCAGGCTACTCTCGTCGCATGTCTGCGCCGGTGCCCGCGGCGACGAGGGGCGGCGGCCCGGCTCGGGAGGGGCCCGGGAGGGCGCGGGGCGCGCGCTCGGCGGCAGGTGAGCGGCGCGGCTGCAGGTGAGCAGCGGGCTCGGCTGGCGCGCGGGGCTCTGCCCGCCTGGCCCGCACGCTCCTCGCCCGCGCGCGCGCGCCCCCGCTCTCGTACCGCGCGCTCCCGCCCGCGGGAGCCCCGGGAGGCCGCGCGCGGCCCACGCAGGCCAGGGGCTGAGCGGGGGACCAGGGCGGGCGAGGGCAACCCTGGAGCCCAGGGGATGCGGAGACGCACAGTGGCGTGGTCACCCTGCCCTACCTGCAGCTGCCTGCATCCGACCCCAGCTAACGGCCAGATACTGGCACCCTGGCACCCTGGCACCCTGGCGGGGCAACGGAGCGCACCCCGAAAGCCCCGCGACCTAGTTTGTTTCGCAGTCTTTGGAGGGCGGCTTCTCCTCGCCTTTTCCTAAATTGTTGCATTCAGGGCCGAAAGAATTGTTTCAGCATCAGCAGCAGGGGTGGGTGGGCAGATGAAGGAGGTGGATGGTTAGAACAGAGAAAGACTCGGGCAGATCTCCCTCTGCCACACCAGGTGGGGGCCGCCTGTCTGGCCTGTATCCTGGGGCTGGTTTCGTGTCACTGGTCGTAGGAGTGCTTGCTGGCCTGAGGGTGCTGCTGTGAGGTGGATGACCACGACCATTACTAAATTGCACTTACTGAGAGCACTTTGAGCTGCATTTATTTATTTTTATTTTTTAAAAATAATCTTACACAGTTTATATGGGTACAAAGGGTTAAGGGCTACAGGAAAGCGGGTAAGATCTTTGTTTCCACACTAATATCATCCCCCTCCCCCCTCCCCCCGTATCTGGGGTCAGGGGAGAAGCAAAGGGAGAAGCCCCTCCCAGCCTCCCACCCATCCCAGGTCCTTGATGTGGGGCATGCTCCAAGGGTCCTGCTCATGCAGTTTTGATATTTCAACAATTCTGAATTACTGCCAATCTTGTTGTTCCAATCACGATGAAATCTCTTCGGAAACCATTGGCTGACACAGTCTCTTCATGGTTGGGGTTCTGAGATCAGCAGTTCAGTTGGAGGGATCTCCAAAGAAGCTTCATTTGAGATGATCCCAGGCCTGATTCTGTGTGTGCTTGCTGGTTCAGGGTCCAGCACCGTACTTCGCCCCAATCAGCTTATGCACATGCTGATCGTTGCAATTGCTGGGTCAGTTCCATTTCTAGCCTTGTCTTCCACACGAACCTATGGTGTTGCAGTCCAGCCCGATCCTGCCCACTTGATACTCAGCCCTCACGCAAACCAGTGGGAGCTGCAGTCTAGTTGGGGCAACTCCCCATAACCCCCACTAGGCCTGTTCCCTACCCTGGTTCCCATGCATGTCAGTATGTACCGCAAGCTTGTCCAGTCTGTCCCATACTCCATTTAGCTTTCATACATTGAAGCCTAGTTCAACCCAACCAACCCTACATCCAGTCCACACACATAATGGCGGGTGCCTTTCTGTCTAGCCACTCCTGGTTTTTTTGCTCTCCTATGGGAGTGGTAACCCAAGAGGGAGGTGCCCATTATCTCCCTACTAAGCCACTCCCATTCCCAGATTATGCACTCTCCAGGTGGTTCTGCAGCGTAACTTGACAGAATTAACCACCAGTGCCAGCCTCTGCCAGCTGATGCTGTGGCAAGCCCAGCTAACCCTCACTCATGCTAATTTTTGCTTGTACCAGTCGGAACAATCAGCCCAGCCTGGCTTTTCCCTGATCTAGCTCCCATGAGGCCCACAGGTATTGCACCCTGCCTGGTGTGGTCTGCCCCCCTCCCAACTCACGTTCTCCAGTGGGAGTGGTTGTCCAGCAGGGGAGCCCACATTCCCCCTGCCGGCTTTGCTCCCTCCCTCCCTGGTTCTCACATGTGCTGGTTGGGTGCTGCAGCCGCATCTGGTATGGCTCACCTCACCTTTGCGTTCCGCATTGTGCACAGGTTTGTGTCGTGACCAAACCTGGCCTGACCCACACTCTGTTCTGGTGCTCAGATTCGTCAGCAGGTGATGTGAACTGGTTCAGCCTGGTCTGCCCCCGACCTATGCCAAATGTGTGCCAGTGAGTATCTTTCTCTGGCCTGGTCTGGGTTGCTCCCTATCATGGTTCTTGTGCTCACCTGCAGGGACTGCGTCCCGACAGAGGAGTTGCCCAGGCTCCTCCATCAGAACCTCTCCCTATGCCAGGTCTTGCACATATTGGTGGGTCCATGGGCCAGCCCTCCTTGCTGCCCTTCAGTCCTCCATCTAACCAATTATAGCCGTCCCTCTCCTGGACTAATCATGATAATGTCCCATTTTACAGCCTATAAAAACCCTAGACAGTCAGCCCTCAGTGGCTGTCTCCTTCAGTTACCTCTCCTGGCATTGCTGGGCAGTTGTTTGGGTTTCTTTTTCTTTTTGTTTTTGCTTTAGCTTCTTTGATTTCTTTCAACCACTTGTGCTTTACACGCGCTTGCTTGTCCGTGTTCTCTATTCTTCCTGGAAACAAGCCTGGTGGAGAATAAGTGTTGTCATCAGCGCAGTCTCCTGCAGCTCCACCCTGCAGCAGCCTCAAAGACTCGGGAGCTTGCATCCCCAGAGGCAGGACTTCCGAGACTCTCTTGTGAGCACCTGGCCTGCAAAGCAGCGGCTTGAGGTTGGGGGTGGGGGAGGGTGGGGGAGGGGAGAGGATGTCCAGTTGCTGTGCTTGCAACCCTTTTCCCATGGATGCTGATGCTCTGGTGGGCAGCTCCCAGTTTGAGCAGTAAGGTTCCTTAGTGTTTTAAGAGCCACTCAGAAATGGTTATGGTGGAGGGACATAGGCCCGCCACCCAAGAACTATGCCAGACAAAATCTGTGAGATATGGCCTCTCCACTCCTAAGTCTGGTGGTGACACACACACAGAATCCAACAATAATAACAGCAGCAATAGCCGTAGTGAGAGGCTCATATGTCTGCTCAATTTCAGTGGGATGACTCACAGCATTTTTTTTTTTTTTACTACAGAACAGGGAAAAGTGAACAGTTGCTTAATATGCATATAGCAGCTCCAGCATAAAGTACTTCAACCTACCTGCAGGTGTGGGGTCAGGGCTAATTAGTAACATCGAGATGGGCCCTGACCTCCCAAAGCTTAGAGAGGTGGCATTCTTTTCACCATTTAATATATTTGCAAAATAAGAGAGAGAAAAAAAGACCTGAGCATTGGGGAAGAGAAAAAAAGGTATTGAGATAAATTTCAAAGGTACATATATATATATATATTTAAATCATTTTATGCAATTTTCATTTTAAACAACATAATTTGAAAAGCAAAGTTATTTACTTATTTATTTTGTTATTATTTTATCCTGGTAATCTTTACATAGTTGATTAGGACATAAAGGGTCAAGGGCTACAGGAAAGTGGGTAAGACCATTGTTTCCACATTTTTTTTTTTTTTGTATCTGAGTAAGGAGGGAGATAAAACAAGAAGCCCCACCCAGCCTCCCACCCATCCCAGGTCCCCGATGTGGGGCATGCTCCGTGGTTTGGATAGTTCAACAGTTTTTAATTGCTGCCAATCTCATGAAAGGCAAATTTATAAAGAGAAGGAAGGACAGGCATAAAGAAAGATCCCTTATCCACTGGTTCACTTCCCAGAGGCTGCAGTGGCAGAGCTGAGCTGATCTAAAGCCAGGAGCCAGGAGCCTCTTCCAGATCTCTGACATGGTTGCAGGGGCTCAAGGACTTGAGCCATCCTTTGATGCTTTCCAGGATTTTATTTGAAAGGCAGGGTGATAGAGGAGGGAGGAGAGAGAAAAGAGGGAAGAGAAAGGAGAGATGAGAGAGAGAGACCTACCTGGTTCACTCTCTGAATGGTCACAGCAGCCAGGACTGTACCAGGCTGAAGCCAGGAGCCTGGAACTCCATCGTGGTCTCCCACGTGGTTGGTAGGGGCCCAAACACTTAGATCATCTCCTGCTTCTTTCCCAGCTGCATTAAAAGGGATCTGGGTTGGAAGCAGGTAAGCTGAGACTTAAGGCTATGCAATAAGGGATGCCAGTGATGAACCCACTGTACCACAATGCCTAACCCAGGTACATGTATTTTTTTTTTTCATAGAAACCTGGGAAGAGTCAAAGAAAGAAACTGCAGGAACTTAACCAAGAACTGCCACATGGACCCAGAAACTGGCAACTGCTACCGTGTGGACACTCAGCTCCTCCAGGTGGCCAAGATGGGCAGCATGTTCACAGTTTTGTCTCCTTACTCCTTCTGCTTGGATGACAGCTTGCGGCTTCACTGTGCTCCTGATTCTACATTTTATGTACGATGTGCTTGTTAGGACTTCGGTTGCCAAGGAGCAGAAATCCAATTGAAATCAGCTTGAATGGAGCATCTTGTTGTTTGATGTGGCAGGAAAATTTCCGGAGACTATGGGGAGGATGGAGATGTTCCAGGGAGTAGGTGGCCGGCATGGGGCCAACGGCCCTTCCCTGCTTCATTTCTGCTAATCCCTGCACCTCTGTCTGCTGGATTTAGGCTTTTCTACCTTAGACAGAGTTCTCTTTTTCCATGCCGTGATGAGAAGGGGCTCAGGGTGCAGCCTCCTGGCTTGTGCCACAGAAGCCCTGTCCAAGCACTGTTGTGTGCACATCATCGTCCATCCGGGCTGCTGTAACAAAGTACCCCAGGCTGGGTAGTGTATATATAGGAGAAAAATTACTGCTCATGGTTCTGCAGGTTGAGAAGCCCAAGATCTGAGCTCTGGCAGACTCCCTGTCTCCTGAGGGCCCCTTCCCCCTGGGTGGGACCTGTGTCTTCTCATGGTGGAAGGAGGGAATGCGCGCCTTAGGCCTTTTGCGTGAGGGGGCACGGGAACTCCCAGACCCCTCCCCATACTAACACCTTAGGCATTTTGTCTCAATGCATACATTTTGAGGGACACAAATATTCAGACCACAACAAATATGCTACTGTTTTGCCGGCTCTTATTCATCAGCACTGGATTCATCTCTGCTTTGTCTGTTGTGAAATAATCAAGATGATCTTTCTTGCACTTGTTATGTGTATCTCTATTAGAAGTATTAGAAGG